TAAGACAGAGGGATAATTGATAATCAATTTATTTATATTTACTCCAGTCTACTACCACAAAATAGTTTATTGCATTTGTTGATTTTCAAAGATTAGCACATATTATTAGAATGAAAGACATAATGCCAAATTGCCTATCTAATGAAGTGGAGCTGTCCAAATTAAATGACGCATATCAGTAGGTAAGATGCAGTAGTTGACAAATATATGTTTGTATGATTAATGTAATATTTCCCAATTATAAATGTCGGTATGAGTATTTAAAACTGCAAGCAACGTGAACAAATACACGTTAAGCTGTTTCACATAAAAGCAACATTCCTTAAAAATATCCTCAATGTTTAATATAAACGAAAATCTTTGATAAAACATGAAGCCATCATCATCAAATGAATTTTAGGTTTGCAAGATTATAATAAGGCAATATCTAATTATTCGCTTTATTACTTTATTCATTTGAAAACCACATAAAAAGATGTATCCCGTACGCAAATTATCGTAAAATTTACATCCATGTCACAATGTAAAATATGATTGTATTAACGTTTTTAATAGCCTTTAAACGATTTGTAAGGCATTACATAGGATTTGTAATTATATAACCGCAAAATATTGTAAATGTTCATCACACGCGTATCTACAATAATTATATTTAATGCATCTGTAATAAGTCTATTAATTATAAATGACACTTATCGAGTGTAACAATATGATAAACAAGATCGACAAGGAAAGGCGGCATTCAATGAACGCAGCCCCCAAGACAAATACATCTATTTTGTTATATATGGGACCCCTTGACTTAGATAATAAACACTAATGACAATATAAATCGTACTACGACAAGCAAGCTGTTAATATTGCGCAAAAGTAAAATGAACCATTTTTACAACCTAAATAACTTTATATCTTTAGAATTTAAATATATTCAAATCAAACATCTGTTTCTCGATACATATTTGAAATGAAACTGATAACGTATATCTTAGACACTTAATGTGTTTATTATGTCCATGACATTTTTATTTCAAATCGCGACCGAAACTAATGTCAGGTTACAGCAACCAGACATTTTAAAAAGGATCCCAAACAATTCATATATAAAAGGGTGACACAATCTAGGGGTACGAATATATAGTACGACTAAATTTTACAAACAACTTTGGATCATCTTTTCAGTATACAAGCTGCATTCATTTAAGGCTGAGTAACATTCCTCTATCCATATTATCAACGTTGTATCTTTCGGTATGATAACTTTTTTGTGAAATGTGTGAATAATTCAATCTAGGCCATTGATACAATATGATAAGCAAGATCAACACGATAAGATGGCGTTCAATAAACGCAACCCAAACAATAAACAAGAACAAAAATCAAGATATTTGCTAACTATTTAAAATTCAATTACCTGTGTTTAAAATAATTGAATGTCGCTCATCCGCCAAGGTATAGAAAGAAAATGCTCAAATGTTTGAGAAGAGTTTTTTTTTGTATTATTTCTTTAAATTGTGTTTAAACAACATTATACATTTTATTGTTTTTATTTTTAACATGTTTGTTAATCTATTATCAAACTTTCCTGTCGCGCCTTGTTTAACCCATTACGCGATATATACGCCTTTTAACGCCTTTTTCACCCCCTCTCCCCTTTTCGGTGGCTCAATTGGTGAAAAAAATGCCTTATTTAGGCCCCCAACTCTTGTTTTTATTTGAGAAATGTTGTTTAAAAAACTGACCACTTTTTCGGTGCGGTCCCAATCAAAAGATACATAAGGGGGTTGCCAGAAGGGGGAAAGGCCCCCTTCTTTTTTTTGGGGGGGGGGGGTTGAAGGGGGCGGCGTCCCTCTCATCGCCAAGAAATCTTTGGACTTGTGAGAGGCTAAAAATGACCCCACATCGATCATAAGGTAACGTGTAACCAACGCCGAAAAGCATTTGACTCCATCTCAATCCATTGAGAAGTTGCAATGAAACAGCCATTGTTCACAAATTGCTCATTAAGTAATGGGTTAATGAAAACAATCAAAAAAAAATACAAAACAACAATTTGTCTTCAAATTTGTCTATTAGGCTATGTTAAAACATGGAAAACGCGATGTTGGGTAATTTCAAGTATTTTCATCATTTTCTGTTAACCCATTACGCGATATAAACGCCTTTTAACGTCTTTTTCACCCCCCTCCCTTTTGGTTGCTCAAATGGTGAAAAAAATTCCTTATTTAGCCCCCCCCCCCCCCAACACGTGTTTTTGTTTGAAGTATAAGTATTTTATTCCCATAAAGACAAAATTAATAAATTAATAAAAATAAATTAAAAAAAAAAACAAGTGAATAATTAATATATTAGGGACAACGTTATCCAACATTAAAAAAACTGACACAAAATATGGACTTTATTTTGATTGCAAGAATATCAGTAGTTTTTGCAAATTAAAAGAAAATGATTAATTGCTATTAACAATATTACTGGTTGACTGCATCTCAATGTTAATATGTCCTGACGTAGCTGAAGGTAATTGTGACCATTTTACAACTTATTGTAAAACACAATGAATTTGATTAAATTTGATAATTTGTCAATGTAGAGGTTCCAATTAAGGTCAAATCAAAATCAAAACTAATTCAAGCAGTTTGTTACACTCACAAATTCAATCAATATAGAAAACCAAATTATTGTCTTCAAATAACAGAGATAGTTTAGTACAGTGTATAACATTGAATGAATAAAATCTCTTCTCAATACTTTTTAATAGTCATAAAATGTAAAGCAGATTGGGTTGATAAGAACAAAACCGTTATTCCTTTCGAACCAATCAATTAAATATCAACTTGTATTTATTACAATTTTTAAATGACATTTTTATTGTACAACATCTTGAAAAAAATACCAACAGTAGAATTTTAATTATTTTATTTTAGCCTTATTAAGAGCCATATGATTATATCGAATCACACTTGAGTTCACATCTACTTAGTTTACATAATAAAATACGACCTTGTAATTAATGATTATGTGGCTAAACTCTTTACGTTGTCAACACTCCTTTGTAACATCTGCATTTGCTTCTCACGGTCGAAGGTTGGAATCACGTCAGGGACATTTGCTTCTCACTGTCAGGGACTTTAGACTCCTCCGTGTGAGGACGCTTTCCATCTAGCTTACGGAACTTCGGCAACTCTACTCAAGAGCCCGCTCATGACTGAAACAATGTATAACTAAAACTGAATAATCGCCATATAAATCTTTTACTGTGTTTGTGCGACGTAAATCCTTACCGAAAAAATAAATATACACATCAAACATTCTAATTATTCATGTTGTTCAAGTACAACACAAAGAAGAATAACCAAACATAACAAAGGGTCTTAAAAGCGAGTTTTGATGTATTTTCTCTCTAACTAAACAGTTCTTTTGTCTTTTTTTTTAACTTCATCAGTTTTGTCTTAAACCCTCAATTAATAATCAACACATTTCTTTCGATTTCTGTCTAGTATCACAAGATTGTCATCGTTTCTTTTATTTAAAATCTGCCTCATGGATGCTGTCGTCAAGTTCATTCCATATGCAATTTCAAGTAAGTTTTAAATGCATTGCAAGGTACTGAACGAGTAGCTTTAATAAAAATTCACAAGTATAATAAAGAGATTCTAACGAGAAAACACATTTCTGTAATCTGAACTATAAATCTGTTGCTTTGTTTCATTATCATGATCAGCGATTGTTTTCAGTCTGTAATTGGTTTCTATGACGGTTAGAAAAAAGCATTATTATATTGCTGTATAACTGTATATATTTTAAACTACTTGCGAAGCGGAAAAAAAAACAAAAAAATATTGCCAAATTTCTGGCATTCAAAAAGTTATATTTTACCTAAACTCGTTTTCAAAGCACAAGTTTGTATCATGGTTACGATAAAATGTACATGTGAAGCCCAAGGAGGTGTTACTTTTGTCGTTAAGCATATTGTTTATGCCATTAACATCATTATCGTGTAACATGGCGTGTAAAAAAAAGACAATTTTGATAATGATATATTGATAATACAAAGTATTAAAGTTATCACTTAAGTTATTTAAATAGATATGTCAAAATGAGAGAACTGTTCTCCATTTTAACATGATGTATCAAAAGTAATAAATCAAAATTACAAATTATTATATTCATTCCCTTCCTTTAGAATTACACCGCATCGAATATAATAACAGATCTTAATACAATAATATATAATTATCGCTTGATATTACGTATTTGCATGGACTTGAAATACTGAATTAGTCATTCGAATAAGTTGTACACCATATTGGATTATATTTGTATATTCCATTCTTAGAAGCACGAGCACCTACCAGAAATTTGGTATCCGTAAATTGGCTAGGATTCCTTCATTGATATTATGTCATGGAATTACTTAGTGTCATAGAAACTTTAACTAAATGGAAGATACTGAGGCATTTTTGTATTGTTTTAAGCTCGTACACAATCATAAAAATACTTGTAATATGTTTGAAGATTTTATGAGTAGACAACTTTTCAGTAAAGTTATAAGATTATTTTACATCAAAAGATCAAAGGAGGAAAATCAAATTAAACATGATATTGATCCTTAGACTAAATGACCCAGTTCTTACAAATATATTTTAAAACGTTTTGTATGACTCGCAAAGATAGAATTAACAACGGTAACCAGAACAATATACATTGGTAAGAATTGAAATGCACTGTTTAATGTACGTACACATTATAACGAATAAAAACTTTTAAAATATGATATTATTCACTTAGTCTGTTTGTATGTAATTGGAATTGCAACATTACATTTCACCTTTGACTAAAACATAAAGATTTCAAATTAAACATGAATGTTGCATCTAAAATTTTCTTAGCTCGTGCTTTTATTTGCACACAACATTATTTTTTACAAGGTAAAACAGAGATATCTACAACAAGGTACATCATGAATCAACTGTATCCTGCTTGAGTTTTCTATATAAGATGTTCAAATTCATTGCAAGTATCATTTCTGTAACGGCCTTTAGTTATTCAGTTGAAGACAAACACTGTGTGACAAAATGAACAAGTTGATGTTGGCTTTACTTCTGGTGGGTTGCATCACCATAGTTATTCTTCCAGATTCTGCTTCAGGTAAGAGCATCACTTTACTGTAATTTTCATTATAGCGTTTTATGACAAGATCGACCATATACTCACAACATTGACAGCTTGAATTATCTTTTTAACTTGCATTGTTTGAATAACGATAATTATTTAGGGAACAGACTTATTGTTTTTCTCTTTCAAATGAGATAACCTAATAGGCTTCCTTTGACGAGTGGTTAAAGCGCCGGCTTCAAATGAACCACGCTAGGGACTTCAAATGTCATGTAAGGAAGCTATCCTGCTAGCTTAAGGATGCTCGTTGATACTCAGGTGTTTGCTTTGTACCTGAAATAATGCAAGAAAGGCCCACCTTAACAAAACTTTGTACAGTAGAACAGTATGAAAGTCGGTTTTAATAGTGTTGGTGTGTCTCAAAGTCCAACAAATACAACACATCATTCATTTACTGTCTTAAAATGTTGTTAAGCTTTTGATACGTAAGGTCATGTATGCAACTATAAACCATTTTAAAGTACAGACAAACGATAGTTGATGCATAAATTGTAGAATATTAAATACATCATACAAAATTTGATCTCGTTAATATAATACATTAACAGTTTTTTTTGGAAATGTTAAGTGATACAAATGTGATAGGTTGAAACTAATTTTTAAGTTCAGTTAATTGTTATTTATTCATTTAATATTTGAAATAAACCAACCAAAATCACAACAGGGTCGGTTAATATTTTCCGTATTGGCAAAGACCAGAATAATTATTTATTTTGACAAATGGGTATAACAAAAAGAAAAAAAAAAGAAAAGAGAAGATAAAAACAAAAACAATGAACATCATCATTAAAATATGACATAGACTTTTTTAATGCATATATTATTTTAAGTCAAATAAAGGAATATGTAAAACTATTTAAATTTGAAAGGCAGATACAAATATTTTATAAAATAAGAAATGTTTTCACGTTGCCTATACAAAATATTTTACAGCCCAACCAGGCGGACTCGGAAGACGTTGTTTCTGCCGATTTCGCTGTAGGTATGGAGAACAGTATAGTGGTTCATGTGGATATAACCGAAGTCGTTGCTGCACAAGACATTATGGATAGACTGAAGAAAGAATAGCTGATGTATGTTAAAATGTAAGGCCACTTTTATTTGTTATTTCAAAAATCGAACATACTCCATTGTATAACTTGTCAAAACTAGTTGGTTTTTTTGGTTTTGCTTTCTGGTAATTAAATTACTTGAACAGATAAGAACACGATAATGTATCTACAATGTCAACATTTTGTATTTGATTAATGCATAAAACTTTTAATTATCCTCGTTAAATGATGTTTTAAACATCAAATCTTAAAAGAACAGATAATGAAACAAATTGTCATATATCTACATGTTTCTCATTATCTTTTATGCAGGTATAGGGTCTAAGGATGCAGTGTATTTCTTTGATAACCATTGACATGTTTTGGCTTTGAAATGATCAAAATAAAATACGCTACTCTTCACATGCTTGTTCTTTGTTTTCTCTTTTATTGAAGATGAGAAATAGATATCTAATACTTTCTCATGTTTTAAAACAAACAAAAAAAAACAAAAACAATGTGTAATGATTTTGTCCGGAAAATTGAAAAACGACTCCTCATTATTGAGCCCAAAATACAACAGGTCAAAGGTGAGTTATATTAAAACGCTTGATACCTAATTCAGCATTTAAATTTGTTTAACTTGTGATGATAGATCTTACATTGGGTAGTCCAGATACTGTCATTAGCGCACAAAATAAGAATCAGTTGACATTAATTGAAACAAAAAATAAACGCGGTGTAATCAAACTTTCATCATGTCTCACTTTATTCATTTATACAAGTCCATTGCAAAAAATGACCATGGTTATCTAACTTAAAAGGATAAAAATTGGTAAAAGACGAAGAAGGCCGGGATGCATTTGTATACCAAATATCATGAGCCTGTGTTAGTATGAAAATTGAACATGGGGCCACGTGTTAATGTTGTTTCTCAAATATCAATATGGTGTGATGAAAACTGTTACGAGAATATCCTACCATTGACCATTAATGTTGAACATTTAACTAAACCGATAAAGAGGAAGTGGATGAGCAACATACCTGAAATAGAATCCCACGATATGGGACTACATGTTAATGATGTATACCAAATGTCAAGAGACTGTGATAAGTAGTTGCTGAGTAAACCGTTACGATTCTTTTTCCTAGCCCGCTCCAGCCATTTAGCATATTATAACCCGGGTTATCACACAAAATTATACATCTTTCTTAAATTAACCATAAAAACAAACAGACAATGATCATCACCATCCTCCAAATCACCATCACACATTCATCAACACCATTCAAAGCTGCAGCCTTCCAATCATCATCATTTACATCATTTAAATGATAATTATCATAATAATTATGAGGCTAATCATAATCATTATCATCCTTATCTATATCATCATCATAATCATCACCACTGTTCCAAACTTAATTTTAATCAAGTTAATTATCGTCAACATAATCGTTCACTCCGAATACTCCTTCACCTCATCAAAATCAACAATTTTCCCATCACCAAAATGATCATCACCATCTGAATTATCATTTTTTAAATCATCTTCCATAATCATCTCAAAAAGAATAGTTATCATCATCATCATCATCACCAACATCATAATCTGCCCCGTTATCATCAACATCATATTTCTTTCAACATCGTTATTATCACCTCAATAATCTACATCATTATCATCGTCACCTCGTCATAATCATTTCAATATTCATCACAACCGTCAGTAACAACAATCAATATCATTATCATCACTCCCTTAATCACCAACGCTTCTGTTAATAAAATGTGAACATACGAGGGTTGTCCCAAAAGTCCGTGACAAATTTTATAGCCGGTTCATTTTTAACGCCAATAGAAAATAATTCACACATATAACCGTTAAGTTTATTATTTAACATTACAACAAATCATTTACAAAAAAATTACCCTAGTTACTTAGAAATTTTCAGTATTAACGACATTGGTTTGAGTTGCCGGCGCACGTCAAATAATTTACATTTTGTTATGAATAGGCTGAAATTAATAACGTATATTTCAAATATCTGATGATGTGTCTGCACAATGTCACGTTGACCTTCTGCTGCTATGTTTAAATCATCTCTGAAAATTTTAGTTAAATAACTTAAGAAACGAAAAAAATACGAATAAATGAAAATATCTCATATAAAATAGGAAAGTTAAAATGGCGAAGTTCGAAGAATTTGCGGCGCAGTGAACATGTCTCTCAGGTTTCATGACTATTTCGAGATGACACATGTTACGATTTTCAACAAGTATACCAAATAGAACAGTTTAGCAACATATTCTGAGCATTTGTGTACAAAAGGCATGAACGGAACCAGAGTTTTTGCGCTTCAAAAAGCGAAAATAAGGAAAACACGGAAAGGAAGACCGATCTTCGTCGCCTATTTCCTACAGCTAAAAACAGGTGTAACGAGACCGGAAGTTCGCGTATAGCAAACATTAATGTATGCCATCCAAACATTCAACAGACATTAACAACCACATGATTTAAGTCAGAAATTGACGATTTATGGGTACCATTATTGTGTTGAAAGCCATTGAGAGTATTTTAGAAAGGCGCCCTATATAGATTTAACGCCGTCTTTGAAAGTTGGACGTGCGCCGCGATTCAGTTAGTTGCCATGGTGTTTATGGCATATTTTTGTTGTTTGTTGATATTTATCTATGAAAATTTGTGAAAATGTTTAAATTATATGGGTTTATAACATATTAAAATATCAAATTCGTATCTGTTTTATTTAGCTTTTAAACAATCTTGTCACAGAATATTGGGACAACCCTCGTATAGTGGATGACACGTTAGACATGTTGAATATAGAAAAAAAAAGTGATTAATAGGGTCCTTAAAAATGTTCACCTTGACTTCTGGGCCTATACATACTTTCCAAGCCTTAGAATCCATGCAACAAAAACATTTACATGTACTTTGTGTTAACTGTTTATACACTGGTAGAAAGCGCTTCCGACGGCACTTTGGGTTTCGAACCGGTGACACCGTAGGCAAGATCTAATGTATTGATTTAAAATCAAAAGGAGAGAGGTTAGGACTATAAGCGGGATGTAGCAAAGCGTCGATTTTCTGCTCCTCTAAATACGCTTTAACAACGACTGACCGGTGCGAAGATTTATCATGGAGTAATTTGATTCTGCGCACCCGGACCTTGGGTTCTTTCAACTTCTTTGTCATGTAGTAATTAATTAAAGTAATTAAAATATTATGTTCCAGTGACACATGCCACAATTAATTCACTGTCAAGAAATAGAGCGTACATAACTTTTGAAATGTTACTGCTACGTAGAACAACAACTGGGCGATCGCTGTTTTCACCTACCCACATGTTACTGGGTTTTTTGTCGGGTAATTTAATATTTTATATATTACATAAGTTATAAATGAAACAATTACAATTTCTTTATTTAAGATGGATTTAATTCTGCTTCAGCAATATTATTACTAAAAGTAACTAAAATTTGAATCACGCTATACTCGGCATTAAGCTAGATTTATATTAACAATATTGGCATATATATTTTCTGTTACTATTTGAACATATACTTTATCTTCTTTTTTTGTTCTCAGTTTTATTTTCTAGCAGCATACGCAGCGCGTTAACTGGGGTGCTGGTATTTATAACCCGCATCCCGTAGCATGCCTGTTGATTGGCTAATTTTGTTTAGTTTTTAATTATTGTGACGACAGAGGAAGGGAAAACGATAGAAACGTCAGATGCTCGTTTATTGGTAACTTATTTCTTGGGTTTCATATTGTGATAACAGGTAACGTGTTTTATTTTTAAATTTGATAAAAAAGAAAGAACATCAAAACACTCAGAAATCTGATTTATTCTCGGGGTTTATGCCCCCTTTGAACAAATCAGATCGTGTTTCGATGCTCTTTCTATTGCATAAACATATATGCACTGAAAAGAAAACACTCATAAACAAACAGTAACCTAGCTATAAAATCATAAACCGTACAGTAATATTAATTAAAATAAAAATTGCTTGTTAAAAAATATTATAAATATTTGTTATTAAAAGTAGCAATGAAGACACATCGCATCTAAAAATGTTTCTTTCTTTCTTTGTCAATCTCATTTATTTGTTGGAATTAATGTCACATCCATATTGTTATAATTGGCAACATTTAATTCCATTTTCTTCCAAATATGTACTCTTTCTCATATACATACGTAGCTTCCTACACAATTGATCTACCAACACAACTGATCTAAAATAAATTCGTATTAACCTATCCAAGGTCCTACTATTTGTAATATTTTTATAATTTAAACTATCATAATTTAATTCTGTTTCAGATGTAGGTTTTGTCTTTTGATATGATTTCTTTATTCTAATGATGTTGTTGCTTTTTGTTTGGTTGTTTGTCAATATTTCTATTTGATCATCTGTGATTCAGTATTGAGCAAGTTAGTACATGCTTTCTACAAATTCTGAATTTTGTGTGACCTGTCAAATAATGGCAAATAATATTCACAAACGGTGCCACATTAAGGCCATTAACACGCCATTGTGAAAATTGTCATCCTCCCGAGGTCTTCTGCTTGTCTATGATATATATTTTTACGGGGATGATAAATAAAATCCATCCAAGTATATGCCGTATCCCTATGACTGACGAAACACTGTTTTTGTTTGTTTTTTTATATAAAGGGAGATAATTTATTGATATTTTTTGAGTAAGTATGGTCGCTGTTTCCTCCCATGGGTGTTGGTGGTGCTGGACGCAGCCTTAAAACAGCGATAGACTATACTTGTTATGATACAGCGAGACACTATACTCGTTATGAAGACAGCGAGAGACTATACACGTTATTAAAAAAAAGTGAGAGTCTATACTCGTTATGAAAATAGTGAGAGTCTATACTCGTTATGAAAACAGCGAGAGACTACACTCGTTATGAAAACAGGGAAAGACTATACTCGTTATGAAAACAGCGAGAGTGTATACTCCTTATGAAAACAGTGAGATATTATACTCGTTAAGAAAATGTGAGAGACTATTGTCGTAATGAAAACAGCAAGAGACTATATTCTTGCTATGAAAGCAGGGAGAGACTTTACTCGTTATGAAAACAGGGAGGATCTGTATACTCGTTTTGAAAGAATATTTATTTATTTATACAACCATTTATTTAAATTCCTTATCAGTTACAAATTGTTTACCATTTAAGTGATTAGGCTGTCCGTGCTCTGCCGCGAGCCCTGTCTTGTTTTAGTTTGGGGTCCGCCTGGGCTCCTTGCCGCTGGGTCTTGTTGCTAGGTCATGTGGGGATTGCGTTCATTGAGCGCCGCCTTTCCTTGTTGATCTTGTTTATCATTTTATTTGATTGAGTCTGTTCATGAACGGTACTGTCAAGTGCAAACTACCGTCGTCAACGTCCCCTTGCACCGGCTTAAGATCAATTCAACATTTAAACATGAATAGGTAGAATTATTAATTTAGAAACATCCACAGATGTGTACAAACGGCGGTTATCATGGAACCTTCAATGTGCCCCTCTGTGTCACTCCATGAAATGCGGCGTATTGTCCCCAAATCATAGAATGCCTGTGCCCTAAACGAGAAAACAACGGGCGGAACTAAACAAAAAGGAATTTTGAAAGGGGATCAGAGGTTATGAGTCACTACATGTTTATTACTCTTATTGTATGATATTTACTAGAAGTACGTAAAATCGAGTCTTCTGTCACATATTCTATTCTTAACAACGCAAAATATGATAAAAAGTAATAAAAAATGGTATTACTTTATTCATACAGTGCTTAAGAGGGTAACGGTACTTAAAACAAATTGAGAGACAAGGTTCCTTTGTCCTGTCACAGAAATGTCCAATAGTAAAGAGGTATCCCGTGCCGCTGAGAAACAGAAATTGAGGTGTTTTTCCGAATTTAAAATGCATTTTTTCACTATTTATAATATTGATAATTACCCGAAGATTATATTAATATGAGTACATGTAAAATATATATGTACATATAATCAAATCATTATTTCATTTTGTCCCACGGTACATGTCCAGGCGGTGAGTGGGGCGAAACTTCGCGACTCTTGTAGCTTATTATTGAGGTGCAGTAATTGAATTCCTTAAACAGACATACTTTAAACATTCTTATGTTCCCTGGTATACTTCTTTTCACTCGACATACCACCTTTTATCTGTATAATGAACATTTACTAGATAAGTTTATTACGCCTACTTGTGTTTACCAAAGAATGACCTGTGAATTTGCAAAAAATGGTATCGTTATAGTGGATTTCCAAAGAGTGTACCGATATGGCTATGTACCGTGCAAGTCAAACGTTGGAATCTTTGTTATTAATGAATTAAACACCAATTTTATATTTAAGTATTCGTTAATTCTATTATGTTTTTGATAGTTCAAAAAATAAATGTTTTTGTATGATAGCCCAGGCCAGACCCAAGCGTAGCATTGGAAAGTGTGAGTTATTTGATTATAATTTAATGCAGAATTAACATTGAATAGCCGAGGGCTTGTTATTTCATTTCTGATATGAATTTTTTGTTCATGTAAATCTATATGAAGACAGTGTTGTCTTTTTTAATATTCTTATAAAAATATCATAGGTTGAAAGCTGTTTCCTGATTGTTTTCTGGACCAGGCGTTATTAATGCATTTTATGCGTTTTAGGCTTCTATTTATAGTCCAATTTAATTTGATTGTGTTCTTAGGTTTATATTTGTACAAAAATCCATGTCAGGAGACTTACAGAGTGTGGCTTATCTTGAGAGTTTGTTTCATACTACGAACCCCCTCACACGATGGGTTGTGTAGCCGACTCATAGCATACTGACTGGGGAAGTACAAAATGATTTAGCTGAAACTCCTGTAAATTATCAAAATATTTGCATTGGTGTTAAATAGCAGATAATGAACATTGAAATATGGTTTTATAATACAGTTAATATTATGTTTATGTTTCATTGGTAATCTATGATAGACAACAGGCAATGCAGGTAACGTATACGAACTTAGAATAACGAAAAGAAAATTTCAGTATACATGTACAAGGGGTTATCCAAAAATTCGTGGACTTTCTTTGTTGCGTAAAATATATTTGAGATATTAATTTTAAATTCTTACACTGCTTAGAAGAATTAATAATCAATAAACACAGAAAAATTCATGTGAGTAGCTTTTTACATTCCAACAATATTTAATTTTACATAAACACATGTCGGCGACAGCGGCGCACTCCATAAACTTATTGACGTCAACGTCATAATAATAACGTACAACTTGTGCTTCAACGTTACGCAGTCAATGACGGTTATTGCTTCTCAAAGTAATGTTCATCATTAAATTTCTTATGCCACTTAAACACTAATGATCGTGAAATTTTCTTTTTTTCTGTTCGTCTGCTGATTTTTATCAAATGTTTTTGTAGGTCTCATCCCCAAACAAAAATTCATGATCGTTATAATTATGAACGCGCGATTTTCTAATTACCGCGTGTCCGTCATTTTCCCGTTGTAAACAAAAAAGGCGTCTGGCGTTTCTAGCGATATCAACAAAAATAAACGGAAATGACGTCCATTATTTTAAAGAATTACTTAAATGACATCATAGAAGAAACATGCGATGTTCAGTGGGTTTTCTACGTTATTTTTTAGTTTCTTTAGCAAAAAATATACGATGACTTACTGCGTTTTTCTACCGTGCGCCGGGTGACGTGTATGTGCTATTTTAAAAGCAATATAAAATCATTATTTATGGACACAATTGACTGTTCCTTTCAAAATGTGTTGATAATATTCTACAATATATGCTGATAAAATTTCATTACAATACACAATGACGTTCAAGAGATATTTAAAACGTATGTATATCTCTCTGTTTCAAATCTTAAGTTTTATTATTACAGTGCATTAAAAAAATCTAAATTCGTGTAGTTTACATGAAATGTTACGGGAGGTAGTTATGGGGGTGACAAAGCTTTGAATTTTCTAATAGGGGAGTGGCTGTTGTTAAATCTCTTCTTGTTTTTCTCGATATTGAAACAATGCTCATACCTTCATCCAATTCTTGTGTTGTTGTTTATATTTTTGTACTGGGAAATAACCGTGTATGTTGTATGTATTTTAATACTTAAATACCTAGATGTTAACCGTTTTATCTCTCATTATATGTATTCAGTAAACATATTTTAATACTATCAAGAATCATAAACCAACCGAAACATCTCGTCTTAACTAATGATAACCTTATCCGAAGTTTGACGGAAAAGACCGAGAAGATTCAATTGGATCATAAACGTTGATCTGATTTACAACAACCCGGTAGTGTTATCTGTGTTAAAAACTTTATCTTGAGAAACATTTTTCTCTATGTGTTAAATTTACATGTATTTATATGAAATACTGATAAGGTTAGAATACATAAAACTACCTGATGTATTCAGTTAGACAAAAATTACCCCATATAGAGCTATATTTCAAAATGTGTTGGATTTAAAATTGGACATGAATTAATTCGAAATGAAACCGAAAGAGGTAAGTTCTTTAGAAACTTGTTACAATAATATATATTGGTGAATTTTCTTTTTTATACATTTTGACCCGGATTTGCGAAAGGAAAATATTCATAGAAACAATTAATTTGTTGCAAGTATCAAGGACTTTTTAAAAGTCTTCCTAGAATTTTAATTGGTTGACTACCGATAAGGATATATATTAAACGTCAAGAACTTTATCCCTATAAGCGCCCCGCAGTACCGCGGCGACTGAAATCGATAACGTAAATACAATGTTAGGACGCTACGTCATCGCGCACCTGCTGAATGCCTCCCACACAGACAATTTTTGTAGAACATTTTTATCTACATTTTCTAATGTTTCTTATCTTCGAATACAAATATTTGATTGTTCAACTGATTTACGTTATGAGGTTAATTTACCTAGATTTAAAGGAATTCAACTAAAGGTTTAAATGCCTAAAACATAAATTTTAATTTCTTGCAAAGATCAACTCGAGCATCCAAGACAGAAAGATACGCACAAGATAATTAAGAAATATTAAAAGAATTAAACTTAAATCGTATGCGGCGTCCGGATGATAGATTTCAGTGGATGATATATCTCATTTGAGTTCTAGTTCATAATAAGAATAATTAGTCTGAAATAATGGAGAAAGCGAATGATCTCAGATTAAGCACACGAGTTGTTGGTATTGACCTTCTTCAAATGAAACATTAATATCGTAAAGTCATTAACCGTCAGCCCGTCTGCTAGCAGGTTTTCTGGTCCGATCTGGATCTTTTGAACCAGTAACTACTTGGCAGAAATGCTAGCCATAATGAGACAATGTGCATAGTACAGGTATGACCTTTCTCGGGTCAAAGTCAAGTTCACGCGTAGTCATTTTCTATCGATATCAAAATTGTGTTTGCGTTCTGTATCTTTAAACCGGTAGATAGAAATAAAAACTTTTTGGCAGTCAAACTACTTATATTGAGACAGTGAGCAGAACACAAGTTTGAACTCCCTAATATCAAAATTAGCTTCGCCTCGAGGATTAATTGATTTATTTAGACACATAAAGAAGTCTTCCTGTCCGGTCGGTATCTTTTGAACTGGTGAAAGGAAATTGAAACTATTTGACATGGATGTTAACCATAATGAGACAATTTGCAGAGCGCAGGTGTCACTGTTAATGTCACACTTAGTCTTTTTGTATTAATATCAAAATTTTGTGTCCACTCTGTTTCTTTTAAACCGATTGTAGGAAATTATATATATTTGGCAGAAATATTTATATTACTGGAAGATGTGCAGAGTGCAGTTTTTGACTACCTCGAGTCAAGATCAAAGTCACACGCACTCAAAATTCTTATTCAAGTATTTATTTACAAAGGGAGATTACAATGTATGAATTTATTCCTCCTATTAAAATATATATGTTAGATCCCATTATTTCCCAAAATTTAGTACTTTATATGATGTTTTTTATCAATCTTTTTTTTTTCTGTTTAGATAATGATTTAATAATTGGGGATATTATAGGTTTATATGATTTATTTATTTTGAGATAAGACAATCTTATTTATTGAACTTTATGTTACTTAAAATATGTAAATTCACTAAATGAAAATATGTTGTAAATTATTCATATAAAATATCAATTTTCAACGAAAGCTGCTTGTGTGTACCGGACCCTCATTATACATAGACAAGAAGAAGGTAATTTATGACAACTTTTGATATGAATGATGCCTGTAGACCATACCTTCTTCTGTTTTACCATATTGTGGACAGTTTGTCTCTTACTAATTGAAAGGCTGATTTGTGTTAAAGGGCTGATGTAAAGTGGCTGCACCTGTTTTATTATACCCCACCACAAAATGTGTGTGTGTGTGTGGTAGGGGTGGGGGGGGCTATAATGGATTCACTTTGTCGCGTCCCTCCGTCAGTCGGTCCGTCCGTCTCCATTATCGTGTCCGCTCTATAAATCCTATACCAATTGAAGGATTTTCTTCAAACTTAGCTCAAATGTTCACCTCAACAAGGGGCTGTGCAGAACCAATATGCCCATGTGTCATCTCAAGGTCAAGGTCACAATTGAAGGTCAAATATCAAACAATCAAATATTATACAGTATGTCGTGTCCTCTCTGTAAGTCCTACACTAATTAAAAGAGTTTCTTCGATCTTGGCTTAAATGTTCACCTCAATAATGTAATGTGCAGAACCAATGTTGCTTTTTTTTGCCGACTTAAGGTCAAGGTCACATTTGAAGGTCAACAATTGACTTAGAAAATATTCTTAAATTTTAACATGTATTTGAATATTTCTGAAACTAGAAAGGGTATTTGCTTGAAACTTAAAATATATATGACGTGTCACAATAAAGATATGCAAATCAAGTTTCATAACTCTGTGTTGCATTTTGACAAAGTTATGACCCTTTTTAAGTCTTCAAATTTACATACAATCAAGTATTAGACAATATGTCGTGTCTGCTCTATAAATCCTATAATAATGAAAGAATTTTCTTCAAAATTGACTCAATTGTTCACCTTAACAAGATTATGTGTAGAACCTATGTTACCTTTGTGCTGGCTTAAGGTCAAGGTCAAACTTGAAGGTCAAAAATTGACTTAGGAAATGTTCTTAAATTTTAACATGTACTTGAATATTTCTTAAACTAGTTCATGTATTTGCTTGACGCTTAGACGATATATGAGTTGTCACAAGTAAGATATGCAGGTCAAGTTTCATAACTCTGTATTGCATTATGACAAAGTTATACCCCTTTTTAGGTCTTAAAATTGACATACAATTAATACTAGACAATATATCATGTTCGCTCTATAAATTCTATACTTATGGAAGGAGTTTCTTCAAACTTGACTCAAATGTTCACCCCAACTGGGTAATGTGCAGAACCTTTCATACCCTTGTGCCAGCTTAAGGTCAAGGCGACACTTGAAGGTCAAAAAATGACTTAGAAAATGTTCTGAAATTTTAACATGTACTTGAATATTTCTAAAACTAGAACAGATAATCATTTGAAACTTCAAATATCTATGAAGTGTCGCAAGTAAGATATGCAGGTCAAGTTTCATAACTAAAAAAGTTTGGGGGGGGGGTTATAAACTTTGTATTGTGTTTTTACAAAGTTAAGTCCATTTTTATGTCTTTAAATTTATTTCCTATAACATTTCTTTAACCAGAAAAGATATTTACTTGAAACATAAAATTTATATGAATGGTTATAAGCCAGCTCAGATGAAGAAAATTCTACAACTCCATTGAATTATGACACAAGTTATGCCCCTTTGAGGCTTAGATAATCATTAATTCTTAAATGTTTCTGAAACTAGAACAGATATTCACTTGAAACTATATAATATAGTCACAAGTAAGCTCAGTATGCAACGTTTTTCCACTCTTAATTACATTTTGACATAATTATGCTATTTTCTTAACTTTGCTGCTTTTGTTTGTTTAAGTACATTGGGAAAATGAAAGGTAATTTGTTACTGTTTCAAACATGATTTGACAATATATATTTATACTATTACCTGTACAATTTGTCATTTTTTCACCAGAGATAATTTTTTATGTATATGTATTTGTGCCACTAAAGTAACTTATTCCCTTAACCACCTCTCCAAGTTGTCTTCTGTCAAGGACATTGGTGGGGGTATGAATCGCATTCAGCGATAGTTCTAGTTATTAAGTGTGCATGAAACAATATATATGTTCAGAATCTTATTGACATATTTAATAAGTCGAACTCGATCGGTTTACATTAATTGGTCGTACCATTATTATTATATAATGGGTGTTTCAAGTTCAAATTATTACATTTTGAATTTTTATTGCAAAATAAATATGGATGTGGACACGTAAATCCGAGTAGCGTAGTGACTAGAGAGTTCAGATAATGACGATCTCGGGTTATAATGAAACATGTTTTTCGCGAGTTCGAGTTCAAATCTACAGTTATGCACATTTTTTTTATATGTTTTCTTCCGTTGTTCATTTTTACCCTAATCACGACTGTGCTGCTTTGTCTTATACTTAACCTGGTGAATGCCATTGTGTGTATAACAAAATGCTCTAAAACATCATTGTCTGACTTTGATTCTAGGGGATTAAAAAGTCAGTTCGTTAAAAAAGAAAAAAAAAACAGAAAAAAAAAAACAAGCAAATACTAAAATAAAAAAGTAATTATAGAGAAAATGCCTTTACCCAAATTCGAACAAGGGGTTGTACATTCAAGAGCGAATTCTCACCACTTCGCTATTATGCTAAACGCATAATAATGAGTGATTGATAAAGTAATTAAAGATTTAGACTATAAATAGTACAATTTTATATAAGATTTATCGACACACCAATTTGTTAGGAATAGCGAATTCGAGCTGTAGCATATAACCTATACATGTTAAACATATTTGATAGGACTTCTTTGATCAAATCAGTATAGGTTCAGTGTTAGATTACGCAGTACTCGTTAAACAGTTATATTAATATATACTATTAAATAATACATTGTAACATTAGTAAATTATGTTTATTGTTTAACACAATTTTGAAGCTACAGAAAACAGGGAAATAAGATTGACGTTAATTATATCAAGATATGTTCATTTCAGTATATCTTCTGTTAATATTATAAATTTGAAATTCAAAGATATATATATATATCTGCCTATATTGAAACTATTTATATTTTCAGGCATTAAATTGCTGCATTTTTATTTCTTTTTAAATTAAAATAATAATGAAAATAGAAACAAGCACTGTTATCTGAAAAGGTATAAAATGACTTTATTTACACATTAGTACATGATGATAAAAACTTAAAAACATATCTAAATTAAATTGTATTGCATTCCACTTTTATATAAAAGTGAATGATTGCTCCTGAAAGCTAATAATATAAGACATAATCATTTGTTTTTTCAGGTTAACCTGGAGCTTAGTTTACAAGACAAGCCTGTGTATATAAACCTTTTAGGTTGGAAAGACACAAAGTTTGCAAGTAATGGCTTCTTATAGCCCTAAGCTTTTAGAAAAGAAGTACAATAACTGGGTTAAAGCTCAGTTAGCAGTGTTGTTTACAAAAGAAGGACTTGAGCCTTTTGTTTGTAATGAAATTCATCAATTTCAATTAAAATGTTTAGATGATATTTGCTACAACAATGGACTATATAGTGGGACTTGTTGTTCAATGTGCTGCATGGAAAATCTTGTTAATTGCCCTACTGACAAC